AACGTCTGGCCTGTTTTTCCTTCCTGCCTCCACCCGAGCTTCCTTCTCCTCGACGTTTTTTTCCCTTTTTTGCCTCCCTTTTCTACCCCGACAAGAATTTCCATTCAGAATGTAATTTATCTCTCGGAGTACAGGATTTCGGGCGCCATTATTAGAGCGGCCAGATGTGAATGCTTACATTCTTCGGTTAAACGGGGAACTCGATGCAGACGCGGCTAATCGTGTTACATGTCCCTTCATTCACTGGCTTTCGGGATCCACCATTTTATTTCCTGCTTCTTTAGAAGATTGATTGCAGTTAAAATTTTGTTTCACGGTGTGGGTTAGAAAGTATAGGACCTTGATTATTCGAACTATTGATGCGCATTGTTTTTCATTTGTTTTAACTGTTCGATTATTCCACCATTTGAATATTGTTTGGTTATTCAATGTGTCTTGGTGTTAATTAATTCAGATAATCAAGATTCTACTTTATCAGCGTATTTACTTTACTATCGTACTACTATTTCATAGCATTGACAGTGACACAACTGAAGGAGATTTCAAATTTGATTTTATTGAACGTAAATTTCTATCGTTATCACATGTTAAACATACTTATTATTCTATCCTCATTATATACAATTAACGGTGATTAATGAGACAACGAAAAAAATTTCAAACTCGATTTTGTTCAACACAAATTTCTACCTTTATTGTGCAAAACGCATTTATAATGCCATCTGTAATATATTAAATGATCAATGATTAATAAGGCTTATGATTGGTATCTACGAAAATGTCAATTTTCATTTAAAATTTTCATTCCTTTCTCTCGAAAGTGTACATCTTTTACGTCGCGGTGCTATCAGTTATCAGACCAATGATACATTGTGACAGCCGGTTAGTAGAAAATAATAGATCAACTCGTCGACGCGCGCAACATTATATTCATTATCGTGAGAATCCTCGGTGACTCGGCATAAGTATAGTAGTGCAGTTTTCGCGACGTGAACGAGGTAATTGGAGACCGTCGTTACGCTTCGATCGCGGCGTGTATCCATTGCAATTATCAGTCCGTGAAAATTGCGCCCGGCTGCGGCGGCCGTGAGTGGCCGGCCGATTCGTATGGTAACTTTCGACGTCGCGATTCAAGATCATCGATTCCATTAACGAGCCGCGGAGTATAGTTGTCTGAGAAACGATCCGGTTTGTAGCAACCGTGTTGGTTTTTCTCTGCGGTGAATGGTGAAAGGCTCGAACGTGGTTGCAAGTGTAGTTTACACGTGGTGTTGTTACGAAATATCAGCCAGAATGTTCGGAATATTGTGATATAGTTGTCAGTATTATCGTGAGTTCACATTGTAGATAAAATTCGTTATAGAAATACTTGCAAGTATAATAGGCACACTGTACATGAAGTACACTGTGCTCGCAAGTGTGAGTATAGTTGGTGAATTATATAGTTGCGAGTGTATAGAATATTGTATACACAGTGTAGTTTAAATATAATAGGCACACTGTATATGAAGTACACTGTGCTCGCAACTTTGAGTATAGTTGGTGAATTGTATAGTTGCAAGTGTACAGAATATTGTATACACAGTGTAGTTTAAATATAGTGTGAATATAGTTTCATAATTTCAACTATACTATAGTTGACAAGTGATATAGTTATCATCTATTGTAAAACCATAGTAGGTACATTATCTTATACATAATTCTAAAGTTGCAAGTCTACACCAGAATATAGTAAACATAGTAATATTCTACGTATAGTTGAAACACTTATACAGTTATCAGTTTCAAATGTACCTAGCATAAGGTATAGTTAATAGTTGCCGTTCGAGCATTGCAGATATAGTTAGAATTACAGTACACAACAGCTGACGTGGGAACATGTAAACATAGCGAACTCTAGGCACAACCTCGGGTATAGTTGACGCACTATAGTCGGCCCTTACCGTGGGAAGTGAAATCCGCCCGAGACCGTTGCGAAAACTGGACTGGGAACGAGTGAAAAGTTTGTTAACCGCGTCGAAAAGCTCGAGCGCGTGCATCGCGAATGCACGGAGAGTTGCATGGGCGATTGCATCTGACCGCAGATTCCGCGGAGGACTCCGTGTAAACGTGCCCTGTCCATTACCAGCAACGGCGGCATTTACATGGAGTTTGTTAGGCGGCGTACACGCCTGCTCCATAAATAATAAAGTCGAATTCGCTCGAACCCGGTAGTTCCCATTTTCCCTTCGTTCGTTTCCCTATTGTAACTCTTTGTCGCAATCCCGATGACATTTCGTCGCGAAAGTGGGTGACTGGAAAAAGGTCGGGGTCGCGACGAAAACCGCGATCAACTAACCACGCCGGTCGTCGAGCGAGGCGAAGATTCATTACGCCTGAAAATATCGTTCCGCCGTGCCAGAAACTCGAATGCCTTCCTACACCGAAGACCGCAGCCGGTTGCGCTGCGAGCGGGGTCAGTTTTCTGTTCCCTTTTTCCTCGCTTCGCTTCTTTTACTCGCCGTTCGTAATTTTCTCGCACCTAATCTCTACCCGATCGCGGTCGCCGTTCCCTAACCTCTTCAGCCAGCGTCCCTAACCTCTCTGAATAATGCGTATTGGTGTTTAACATCGCGTTCAAATCATCAGGAAAGCGAGCGGCAATTCGCTAATGGTAGAAAGGTGTTATTAATCTGCGTCTTCCCCTCGACAATTCGGTGGACGTAATAGCGCATCCATTGCAACGTGTGCGTTGCTCTCTGTATGTGTCTCTCTCTCTATCTCTCTCCCTCTTTTTATCCCCGCTCGGTAGGCCACAGCTGGCTCAGTCCTCATTCCCCGTTCCCCATTCCTCGTCCCACCAGTTTCGAGCCACCAAAGACAGAAACACGCGGGAGAGTTAGCGAAGAGCTGGCCTGATGGTAGCGCGGAGGGGACTGGGATTCTTCGTGACGGAGAAATAAATATCGAAGCCCGGTTAGGAAAGGATGGAGAGAATGAGAGAGAGCGGGAGATAGAATGAGAGAGATGAGGGTAGACACGAGGAGAGGATACCTGCGGAGAATGAAGGAACGAAGAATCACGAAGGACAAACACGTATAGAATGCTTGGCTTGGTATCACCGAGGGGTACGGGGCAGCGAAGGGGAGAAAGAAGATGGTGGCCCGTAGAGAAAAAAGGAATTGATAATACCTTGGATCGTTAATAAGATGCGAGTCGGGAAGAAGTATCGGGCTTTAATAATACAGGTCCTTCGGTAATGCGCGGTCTCGTTTTTCGCTGGGACGGGGGGAGGGACGGGAAGAATTAATTTAATTCAACGGTGGAAACAAATCCTCGGAAGAAAAATGCTTCCAATATAGCTTCAAACCGAGAACCGAATCTCTAGAATCTTCAAGAGGCTTCATAGTATTTTGGTAATGTCGAATAACAATAATACCGATCACGCTAGAAGGAAAATTCTTAGGCGAATAGTCAGGAGGAACAGGGAATAGATGAAGCCAGGATCTTGCTAGTAAGTCCGTGAAATCACACCGTGAGTGTGCGCGCGGGCGCCCAAAATAAACATCTTCAGGATCGTAGAGCCGCGGAACACAAAAGGTGGGACGGGCGAAGGGAGTAGTCATTAGCCGGTCGGAATCATCGAGCCGCTAGCGAGAGGAGTCAGGGAAGCCGGGGCAGGACATCAAACGTTCGAAGAAACAGATGTGGAAAAAGGGTTCGCGGATAAAAAACCCGGCGAGAGAGAGACGGGCCGATGGCTGTGGTCGGCTGGGGGACGAAGACGGAGCATCAAAGAGCGCAACAGAACCAACCAGTGCCTTCTTCCATTGGTTGTGTGAGGTTATGTGCGCCCGACGAAGAGGGAAAGATGGCCTCCGCGCGCGATAGAGCGAGAGCGGGGAATGTATAGTCAGAGGAGTGGGGACGAGCGGAACAGTTAAGCTGGCCGAATGGTGGGGGGTACAAGCGTTGTCGGGTGAACGGGGCAAGAGGAGGAAATACTACGAGTCCACGCGCTCCTATAGTAAACCGACTATAGTACTATGAGTCAGTCACACCCACAAGCCGGTTGTGGGTTCAAGACCCTCGTTGCACGTTCGTGCACGGCCTCTGTGTACACGGACACACACGCCGAGGGCGCGCGCGCGCACCCGCTCACGAGGTCACGCGTACGGACACGGTCGAGAATCTATTGGCCTTGCCACAGGAGATCGTAAGGATGATCCTTAGAACGGATAAAATCGTCGAAATTTACCGGGACGAGCCTTTCGTCGAAAGGAAACTGATGTTCATGGCCGTGAACAGTTTCTTTTTTATGCTTGAATGCTAGACTTTGGTTTTTGCTTGTTTGTCTTCGTTGGAGAACGCTGGCATGGATAATTATTTTATGGGACTGTGTTCTGTTTTTGAAAACGTATGATGATGAGATTGGCGATAGCGCTGTGTCGAGGGGGGCTCGGTCGTGTATTTTTCTTTGGCCTCTAGCTCTTGTTCGTCTCTTTACACGTCGCATTTAGTTGAAAATTAATTAGTCACGAAGCGCTGGCGCAGATAGTTGCTACTGCAGCCGTGTTTTCATTAATTAACGTCTGTACGGGGGCTGTTTCATGAGTTTCTTAACGTTCGCTCTGCCCGCTGTGCCTGCGTCGAGCATAGTTGCAAACTGCAGTTTGCGCGGGCAGAATATTAAACTCGATAGCGTGAGGATGGACGGCCATGCGAGAATGATCGATGAACACGAAACGAAGTTTTAATGAAACCCATATTTTCTAGCTGACCTGGAGAAGTCATTTCTACAAACGGTGGGAAAGAATTGGGTTTAACTGTCTGATTTATTTCTTTTCGTTGTAACTTACTTGTAAAGAAAATGATATTTTATTTAGAATTTTATACGGCTCAACTGCATTTCCTCGAGTCTGTTCTGTTTCTTGCAATATGCACGGGCAAATAGATTAATTGTTATTCATAGAGTAATTCTCGGTGGAATAGAATGTCTCATTGGTATCTTCTGGTTTCAGTCAGGTGAATGTTGGATACGGAGAGTAGACACAGTACTGGGCTGGATCAGGGACCAACTAGGGACCCTTGGCTCACAATGGATTACTATCTTGGCACGGACAGTCTGTCGCTTCAGGAAATGCTGGACGTGGACATTAAATGCGAAATTGAAGGTGTCATTGGTGGACACACAGAGTTGGGCTTCAATTTCACAGATATGTCCACCCTAGAGATGGATGACGATCCCATTGGGTGCCAGAATGATCTCAGCGGATGGTTTGGATCCACCAGTCTCTTGAATGGCAACAGTAACAGTTCAAACAGGTGCTCATTTCATTGCTACAAATTGTTCTCTCTCCTGAGAACCACTCAAGACGTGCGCAGCTTCGCAATATAGTTCCATCATTGAAAAGTATCTCAACAACTAAACGCTTGATCTTGTTTTCTTCTTCCAGCAATTTCAATTTAGACCTCAGCGGAGGTGATGCAGCCTCCATCATGGTGAATCCCAACTCAGTCATGCCACACATAGCAGTCCGAAGTCCTACTCCCAACAACACCAGGAGGCATTTCTCGTTTTCACCGAAAAGGGAAATCAAGGAGGAGAAGATTGATGTTGAAGAGGAAATGGAGAACGAAGCCGGGAGTTGCACAGAGAACGAGAATGAGAACGAGAATGAACAGGAAAATGATATCGAGAACGACACCGAGACAGAACAGTATGAGAACGACATCACGGAGACCGAGGAGGACTCTGAGGATGAACAGGAAATTTCAAAGCCCGTGACACCGACCAAGTCGAAAACTGTTTCCATATCCACTATAAAGACCACTTCTCCCCAATACGCAAGGACACAGGCTACCCCCAAAGTGAACGGTATGTCCAGCATCAGGGTACAGAACTTCAAAGTGTTGCAAAGCCCAAACCAAACCCCGCAACACGTGAGGAAACAAATATACAATAACAACATGCACGTCGGCCCGGGAACGACCACTGTCACTACAATGAAAAGGGAGAAAGAGTTTGATCTGTCCGACTACGACGACAAGCCGTACCCCAAACCAGCATACTCGTATTCCTGTCTGATCGCTATGGCGCTAAAGAACAGTCAGACAGGCTCTTTGCCGGTTTCAGAGATCTATAACTTTATGTGGTAAGTTCCAAAGACCAAATTTCGAGACTCTAATACATTTGAAGGTTAGGGCACAAAGTAAAAGTAATTTTATGCTTTAAAAAATTATCTAAGATTTCACGGTTTGATGTTCATTTAAAATTTTAATCATTACGGATGTTATAATTTGAATAAAGCGACGGATCGAATGTTACCGGTTTCATGTGATAAGAAAGGAAAAAATTCAATGGAAAAAAACATCCCCGCGGAAGAAGGGTCGAAGCGTGATTAATTTTTTTTTGATACGCTGCCGAACAATAGAGCAAAAGGTTCCTATTTGACAAACGACGTGTTGCCGACCTATTCGCTTATTTTCGACCATTTGGCCGGAAGGATAAGGGCTGGTCGAAGCCCTCCGGTGTTTAGCCCGCGAGGGGAGAAAGTATTGTCGTCCCTTCTTTATTCCCAGGTTTCAAGGGGGGAAGCTGCCATTTTGTGTGGGGCTCTTGGAACACCAGGTGCATGGCAGTGTACAGTCCCCATAGAAAATGCTGCGCGTGTTCTTTGTTTAACTAGCTGCCGTTTTTTCCCCTGTATCATGCTGCCGCTGTTGTAATACGTTAAAATTGAACTTCTAAATTATATTTTTGATCCTCTAATCGTTGTTACACCGATTCGTTGTATATTAACAAATTTTTACAATCTTACGAAGGTTTTTAATTTCTTTATAAAATTATGCACATCCGTAATGCAGTAATTATTGTTATGACAGTTTCAGTGGGTTCCACTAATTGTCAAATTACTGTAAGATAATCTAGAGAATTATGAAACGTATAATTGCAATTGCGACGATCATAAATACGTTTAAATAATGTTTGACGAACATTTAATTAATTAATGAATAGGGCCTAATAATTCTTATATATTTTTTATTAATTGCTTTTCATAAATTAGCATTTAAAACAGAATTTACAGAAGCACCTGTAAATTGGTCATAAGTTATTTTTATCGCTACCGAAGACCGTTAACTCAGATGTTAATTCATGCGGTGTCTTCTTGCAGCGAACACTTTCCATATTTCAAGACTGCGCCAAACGGTTGGAAGAACTCGGTGAGGCACAATCTGTCGTTGAACAAGTGTTTCGAGAAGATTGAGAAACCAGCGGGGAACGGGAACCAGAGGAAGGGTTGCCTGTGGGCTATCAATCCGGCCAAAGTGGCGAAAATGGACGAAGAGGTGCAGAAGTGGTCCAGGAAGGATCCCCTGGCTATCAAGAAAGCGATGATCTATCCGGATCATTTGGAGCTTCTAGAAAGGGGTGAGATGAAATACGCTGGCAGTGGGGACATGTCCGAGGAGACGGAGAGTTCAGGCGACGAGGCTGTAGAAGAGAGCACAACGTACGACGAGTCTATCCACAGTCACATAGCAGCGAATTCTGTGACTGACAGCTACGACGAGAGTAGCCAAGACTGTGATATAGATATCGTAGAACATCTATACGATGAGATAGATATAGAAGACAATAAGGACGCGCTACACATGCAGCTGAACATCTCCAAGCAAGAAACGTTTGAATACGAACTCAGCCCCACCACGAAGAGGCAGAAGACGTTAACAGGCGCGATACAGGGGAATTACGTATATCAGCCAGTGACGACATCCAGGAGAAAAGCTCCCCTTCTCCTGCGAGCCGGAGCTGGTAATGGCTCTTTTCTTAAGATAGATTGAACTCAGGCTCGGTTAAAACTCTTAAATTTCTAGTTTTGTATGTATCCGTAGTTATAAAACGTGACAGCAAGAGCAATGAGTCTATCCGAGGAACGCTGGGAGGAAAATAGTTGATACGCTAACTATTTTGATCTTTAGTAAAGGGAAAATCTTGAATACGATCGATCTTTTAATCGGGGACTGGGATCTCTATCGCATTGCGCTCTGTTTAAGTGATTTTTCATACATTCGCTAGTATAAGAGTATCTATAAATTTTGTATCCATTCGTGAATGGTAGTAGAGCATACCCACGAGGAAGAATGACTTCTGTGTGAGAGGGAAGAGCTTGTTAAAGATTCGCCGAGAAGCTGTTCGATTCATAGAATTTATTTTATCACGAAGCTGCACATTTTTTCTATTTTTCTACGGACATTCGATCATGATGTTAATTATAAGTTTTACACCGAGAACAAAATAGCTTCTCGCTGAATTTTCGGGCCAATGACACAGGAGCCCTTCTTCGAAATGAACGGGCGATTCATATGTCACTTTACATTTTGTCGAATGTAACTGTCATTTCTCACGGGTTTTGAACGTTTTGTATCGTATGGAAAACAGACAGTCTTCTCTGAAGAAGAGTGTTTGTTTTTATCTGTGTATTATAATTAACACGTCAGTAACTATTACTAGAAAGCCCATTTAAATCTGGTTACCATATCCAACAGCTACTGCTGTTTATTTAAAAATATCACAGTATGAATCATCTGTGATGCGGAAGATTATCAAGCGGACGTAATTTCGATTGTTAGTCTTAGATCCGAGAAAATATCGTGATGCATGATCGCGACACCGTTGGAAAAAAAACTCAACAATCGAGAATAAAAGTCAAATGGTATATCAATTATTTTCCTCGGCAGTGACAGTTACAGTGTGTACTGTTCAAAACTTTCTTTTGCTTTTTAATTGAGGTAGGTACAGTTGTACCTAGTTCTCTTTCAAACGACTTTTTATACAGTTGACGAACTGAATTTTCCATGACGTACAGAAAATAGGTATAGTACATGATCGTAGCTCGTGATCCGGACGAAGAAGGAACTTGCACGAGTATAGGTTAAGTCGATAAGTATTTTTTGGTCAGCGATTGGCCAGACTGATGTATTATACTTTTTTTTATACATTGCTGGACTGCAAGTAATTATAATTGTAAATGTTTCCCGGTTTTGTATACCTGACAAATAAGTGAAACGACGTAGTTAGATTTGAAGCATAATATTATGGGACAACAGGTATAGAGTACAAAAATGACGACAGCTGTGGGAAACGATCTGAATTTGTAAAATTTTGTAGTATATATTACTAAATATGTAGGGACGGTAGAGAATATCGTATACCTGATTTATAAAATACGTTCTTCTCGTTCCCGACAGATTAACAGTTCTCGTCCTTTGTATTTCTGTTTCTTTTCTCTTTATTCTCCTCCTCCGTCTCTTTCATTGCTCCCTTAGCTTTTATTTAAGCGTAGCGTCAAAACTTTTCTAGAGTTCGTTCCTTTTCTGTTTTCTTTTTTAGGCCAGTGGAGCTAAACGACTCTCACGTCGAACGTGTAATTATTTTTCTCTTCTATTTTTACCTTTAACTGAACATTGATCGTATGTATATGTACATATACGTTTTTAGTCATTCGTTGCAAGAGAGGAGAGGAAAAATGTCTACTTAATTTTAGGTTTTTTCTTCGTACAATGTAAAACAACAATGTTCTCCAAGCTTTCTTAATACTTACACAACCAACGAGACAACCACTATGCTCCTTTTAGACTGGAAAAATGGAATCCAAAATTTAGAAATATCTTTCAATTGATTCCACTTGATCTTCCAGTAAAGAATTTATAGGTTTTCATTTCGCATTATTCTAAAATAATTTAGTTATCAATCTTTTAGTAGCAGCAAGCTGTTTGGATCTTTGGTAGTGTAGGAGTTAAGAGTAACAAAATTTGAAAACTGTGTTAATATGGCAATTACGTGTGTCAGAGAAAATGAGACGAGACTCACAGGCGAAGTTCTGTTTTTTTATCAAGAATAACAGTATAGAAATTCCATAAGTGTTTATATTTTTTTCATACACTGTAAAATTTGTAAATAACTTTTGGACACTCAGTCTCTGACACTGGACCAACCGTGGAAAATGTTTCTTCTTGCGCCACCTCCGACAAACTTCTGTAATGTTTCTGATCAGTTTTCTGTGTCGCAGAGGGAAGAGGACACAGAAATATATTCTAAAGGGTAGAAAAGCTTGACAAAGCGTAGTCTCAGTGATCTGTAAATAGTAAACTATATATATACATACACACACACATATATATGTATATATACATATATATATATATATATATATATATATATATATACAGTACAGTGCTTTTTTACCGAGCAACTTTTACAAGCAAGTACAGTAACTTCGTCTCACGTGAAAGCGTTGCGACATGAAGTCACTTTAGGGTACACAAAAGCTTACCATCGTTTTCGCGAAAGGCAAGAGAGGAGAACACATACACACAACAACAACAACAACAACAACAACAAAAAAAAGAGAAAAAGAGAGAAAGAAATCTAGACGTGGGACCAATCTGTATTTTATAGAGTCTCTTCTAAGTTTAATCTACAATAAGTTTCTTCTTTGTAAGATGTTGTTTAAAGCACGGTTCTTTTCTTCTTTTTGTATAGTCCCTGTAAATATCTAGTTTCTCTTTTCCCGATTGAACGCCGGGGAACGGCTTTAGGCTGTAGACATTTAAGTTTTACATTTGGAGAAAAAGGAACGAAAGAAGGAAAAAAGGAACTGAACCTTTGTTAGGGGATGCCTTGGATTGCCATTTCGTTTAAGCGAACTCCAAACGCATTGTCTGATCTCGTGGGAGTGTGCGTGTGCGTGTCTCACCCCCCAGAAAAGTGTTGTACGTTCAAACAGTCACATGAAATCACCTGTTAACAGGATAATGTTCGGCGATTCAGCGTGATGTATTTTTTATTTTCTTTTACTCGAATGTTTCTGAGATCAACGCTCCGGCTCGTGTACACCTCGAACAATGCCATAATAATAGTAACGATAACTACTCTCTACCTTCTCGATGCATTTCATGCAACAGGTGCTGCGAGATTCTGATAGCGAATAGACTTTCATTTGTGACCATTGGAAATAATGAGATGAAAATCTAATCCTCGTTTGAGTAATGCATATCACAGCGTTGGCAACGGGCTACAATGGTTCACGTTTGAAATTTTGTTTCTCTTTGTTTTACTGTCCGACAAAGGTGTTCAAATTCAAAATCGACTAGGAATTTAACGTTTCTAACGAGAATATGGTTAAACAGACAATAGTGGACGAAATTGAAACAGATCGACTGATCTCCTTAGAGTTAAATTCAAAAGTATTACCCTTCTAGAACCAAATTGAATACGCAATAACAATTGTAGAACGTTATCAAAGCGAGAGGGATATCTTTGTTTAGTGGTAAACGCGCGAGCAAAGTATTAATTGTCTTGGAAATTGTATATTTTTTAATTTATTATTCGGTTCAACAATGATCTCTTCTATAGCAGACATGTAAAGACTTAGGATTTGAATAAAACATGTAACATTACACGACTCAGTGCTCGTACCTATGAATTTATAATGCTCGAGTGCCTTGAGTTGCGATAATGGTGTTTTCTTATCTTTCATTTGTTTTTTTCTATCTTCTGTTTCTTTGTTTACGTCCAATATACTCATGTCAAAATTCATGCACTGCACTGCCTTGTGCGCGACCGCTGAAGGGGACGAAGCGTCTTGAAACGTCACTGCCAACCGGCGGTTGAAGAGTTCCGAATTCTTCGCCGTTGTTTTAAGGATCTCTGTCATAATGTTAATATTAATTTTACATCGATAATTCGGATTGGTCGAGGCTCCTTCGTTTTTACTTTACACGAATCAAGTTACGAGTATCTCTTAGCTGCGGAACACTTGAGAATTGTTAGTCGGGAGTGCGAAAGGGTGGACAAGTTTTCCGATAGAGTGACAGCGAATCTTTGGAAGCAGGAGTTTTTCAAGCAGCCGAGGGGTTAGGTGGTGAATTTGTAAATTGAGAAACGAGACGAGTACTGTACATAGCCGCAAGTAGCGTCCATTGTGATGAACAAGTACCCAGTTAATTAATTGATCGGTTAACGAACGAATCAATCAATCGAACGATCGATACATTGTTGGACCTGTATTCCACCCGACGGAGGATTAACCCTTTATTTTCGATACGATGGATGTGGAGGAACATGGAATTTTAAATCCGCAGGACATTGTATTAATTAATTTTTAAAAGTTTCCCGTTTTATTTTTCTAACACAGGGAGATAGAGGGAGAGAGTGTGTGTGTGAGCGTGTGCGTGTGATGTGTGTGAGCGAGAGAGAAAGAGAGAGAGAGGGAGTATTGTAAAATATATTCCATTTTTTCCGACAAAATGTTCGAAATTGTTTGCGAGTATAGGGTTAATACTTGGAGCTGGATAGATACAGCAGCTTCCTGTTAAATGATAATCTCTTACGAAACGACAGTAATTTGTAATCTACGATTAAGTAAGATAACGTATGATAAGGAAAAAGTAGAGTAGTTTTTGTACCTGTTTGTAATATTTCTATACGATATTATGAATGTATGTAATGTTCGTGTAGATGCAGCAGTGGTAATTTGTAATAATAATGTATATGTGCAATGAGAAGTTTCAGTAATAAAATGTTGAGAAATGCGATCCTGGCCTGTACGTTATGTTGCATAATCAAGATGCGTAGATCAATAGTTGCTCCAATTTTTACCTGAGCACGTTGCCAATTAACAATTTCGCGATTTTAACAAATTGATTTCACTCTGGTCAGTTAACGGTAACAGTACTAGAACTTTACGTTTATATACCATTCCTACCAGTTAAATAATTGGCTACAAAGTGACGGTAAACAAGTTTGACGACAAAGTTTTTCTGCTGGTAATAGGAACAAAAGGAAAAACAAAAATCGGAACACTGAATAGGAATTGAATGAAAGTTAAATGAACGAAAGAGAACGCAGAATTTTCAATGAAATTTTAAACTAACGGTACAGTTAGTGTTAGATAATTCTTCGGCATACGCAGCGTCTTCGTATATAGTTTAAGATAGAATTAACCCTTTGCGGAGGACTGTCGACATTTCGGCGAGATGAAATTTTCATGTATTGAAGACCAAGTCGCACGCGAATGATTTAATTACTCAAACAGCAAGAGATCAGCACGTAGTTTCTGTTTTTTCTATTATTTAAGTGATATATAATTTAATTAAGTCTCTTTCAAGTTAGCCTTAAGTTGAACAAATGAAAGATGTATCGTCCGCAGTTGGAAATTTCGTTTTTCATTTCAGTATAGTACATAATGTATCGAATGCAACAAATAATTCTTACCGTCATGTACATACTGCATAATGCATATAGCGGCAAGAATTATCTGCTTCCGAAAAACTTGCGTTTTGACTGGTGGCGCCATCGGCGGTAAAACTCCCAAACTGGTAGATAAATGTTACCGATATGGGAGTTCACGCGGTTTGTCTATGGCGCCATCCATGGTAAAATGGTCGAACTATTGGACGGCAAAGTTTGTCGTTTCAAACACAAAGTTCCTACTGTAGATACTATAATTTTCTTATTCTCCTTCCTTTTTCATTTTCATTTTTCTACCTAGCCTAAAGAGGGCTATGTAGGCAACTGTTTTATTTACAATTAATAAAAGAAATCAAACTTCCTATAATATTATCGAGTGCAAACGGTTGAACAGGGCGCTGCTTTTATTATATAATTATATTTCCTTTCTTTCTACGTATAATAATATACGTTCGAAAAACAACACAAGTTTACTGTGAATCATACGTAATCAAGTTCTGCACATTTTCTCTAAGAATTCGGTGTTCCTATTAAATTGTAATTTAAAATTGTAAAATGGTTTATAACTCGTAAAGAGAAACTTAGAAATTAAATTGCAAATAAATTGCAATAGTGGCCATCGATTTCGGTGAATATTAAATTCAGTTTCCGCTACATTAAAATTCCGAAAAAGGTAAAATAAATGATAATACAGTGTAAATTCCAATGATTAATACGCACAAAATGAAATGTTTTCGTACTGACTGCAACCCATCGTCGGTCAATTCCAGGAATTTAATAATCGCTTGGCCGTCGCGATTTTTATTATGAACGCGCAGTTACCATGGGTCTTCCGGGAAATCATTCGTAATAGGATTAAGCGAACAACTCCTTTCGCAGATTGTAAAATAGCCCAAAATTCCTTAGATTCTTTCAATATGTAAATAGCCGCAGGTAATAATAGTGAGGACCGGTAGCGAGTACGACCGGAAGTCGCAGAATATCACCGATAAGGGACGAAAATTGGTAAACAGGGATGATGATTCCAAATGATTCAGTATTAGTTGACCGTGAGTTGGTCGCGAAGGAGCTCTCTGTGAACCATCTTTCTAACGTGGACGTTGGACTTCTTGTGGCTTCATTCGGTTTTCTTGAACAGTATTAGACTTTATTGAATATTATTGGACAATGTTGAACAGTGTTAAACTTTATTGTAAGGTATATTGGACGATGTTGAACAGTGTTAGACTTTATTGAACTGTATTGGACAATGTTGAACAGTGCTTGCCAGTGTTAAATTTTATTGAACAATATTGGACAATGTTGAAGAGTGTTTACCAGTATTAGTCAATGCTGTGGGATGCTGTGGGATGCTGTGGGATGCTGATCGGTGGTTACCCAGGATAAACCATACATCTCAGTTTTTTCGGAGTTCTGTGCGGATTGTGGCAACGAACGGTGAGTCGCATGC